CATGGGGCTTGAACTCTGGGCCTGGGCGCTGTCCCTCAGCTCTTCAGCTCAAGGTGAGCGCTCTACCACTTGAGCTACAGCGCCACTTCTGGTTTTCCAGTGGTTTATTGGAGATAGGAGTCTCACGGTCTCTCCTGCCGGGGCTGGTTTTGAACCGAGATCCTCAGATCTCAGCCTCCTGAGTAGCTAGGATTACAGGCGTGAGCCACCAGCGCCCAGCCCTACAACTGTTTTATGTGTGCTGGTCCTGGGGCTTGAATTCAGGATCTGGGCTCCACTTCTGACTTTTTAGTGATTAAAGTCTCTCAGACTTTCCTAACAATACTAGCTTTGAACTCAGCCTCCTGAGTAACTAGGATTACAGTGAGCCACCAGCACACAGCCACATTCTTCTTTTTTAAAAGTATAAGTTTAATTTAGAAACAAAGAGCTGCATTTGCTCTCAACTCATGAAGTTCCCATTTGACTAAGCTCTTCTGAGTCTTCATTCTCTGACAGCAGATAAAGAGGAGACATGGCAGCTTCTTTGCTTCCTTTCGTATGGTGTACTTTACCATTAGGATGAAAAGATTCAATAATACTTGACTTTGTGAAATTGTGTAAAATTATAAACACATGGTCATAGCATTTTTAAAGTGCTTCAAAATGGAATTATGAATTCATCTTTCTTTTTTTCCTTTTTGGCTTTTGGAGAGTTTCAGGTTGGCCTAACCCTCCTGATTCAGACCTCTTGACTTATAAATAATATCTGTATCTGTAAACTCAAGTTATCTTTTAGTTGTAAATTGCGGCTGGAATTTGAACATGTCCAAAATGTTAAGAAACTTCTAGAATGATGAAGTCATTAAACGTCAAGGAGCCAGCTGTAGGTTACCTTTTATAATTCTGTTTTCACAACTTGATTTCATTGACCTTTGCTTGATGTTTTTTTTTAGGCAGAACTCTACTTGTTTACAAAGTAACACAGAGGTAATATAATCTGTTTTTGCGATACAGTGGCAATGGTAACTTTATTTTTTCCCCTTATTTTAAAAAAGAAAGTCAACAAGTTTAAGTGCCTTACAATTATATTTCTTAGAAATAACTTTATTATATATCACTGGCAATAACATTCATCATTAAGAGGTTGACACAGATACTTAGATTTGTCTTTAGATTTAAGTACTAAAGTCCTTAGAAATGGAGGTTTGCTCAAGTGGTAAAGCATCAGCTGTGAGTAAGGAAGAGCCTAAGTTCAAGCTTCAGGATTAGCACACAGACAAAAATAAAATAAAATAAACAATTAAATTAATATTGAAGTTCAGTTCAGCATCACTTCAAGTTCACCAATCAATTATAATTCTACTCAATCTTAACAGCACAACTATTTTATGACTGAAAAAGAAGTTTATTAGCAGAGGATCACAATAGCTCAATAGCTATGTGCATATGACCATATAAAATGATGCCTATCAAAATAAATTCCAAAAAATGGAAACAAGAATTTCTTTTTTAGTGTACTGTTTACAACTATTTCTTTTTTCTTTCTTTCTTTTTTCCTTTGGTTTATTCCCTGTTGTCACTTGTGCTTTTATTTCTGTGCCCTTTGTCATAAATGTAAGTTTATCTGATCTGGGGAAGGGAAGGGAAATCTCAGAAATGGTAGGGCAAAGGGTGAAACGAAGGCAACAGTGATACTAGACACTGTGTTGGGGGGAGGGGAGTTACGGTGGGGGAAAGTGGGAAAACATGGAGGGGTAACACTGTTCAAAAGGAAATGTACTCATTACCTTAGTTATGTAACTGTAACCCCTGAGTATATTACCTTTACAATAAGATTAAAAAGAACAGGGAAGCTTTTATGAAGCCATAGTAAAAATACCCAATATATAACTCATTTCTAGTAGTCCGCAAGAGAAAATGAGAACTGGTCTCACTTGTGTCAAGTTCAGCTTGATTCTCAGGAGTGGGCATGTAGCTGTACTGGGCGTATTTCTGAGGGGTTATTTCTTTTTCCATCTTACATGACAATGTTAACTGGTGTAAGAATGCACATTGCAAGATACATTATTATTGTTTTGTTTTGAAACTGTGTGGTTAAGTAGCAAATCTGAACAGGGTTTATCCTTTCAATCTAATGGTTTAATGGAACTCACTCTTGCCCCATAAGAAAATACAGCATATTTTGGAAGAAAATACTTAATGATGAAGACATCACCTCAGTGAAAATGAGAAACAGCTTTCTTTTTGGAGATCATGTATAGCTGATTGGAAACCTAGAACACATTTAAGACGAAGGCATGGGGAATTTGGTGGTTGTTGGTTTAGTTGTTGTGGTATTACTATTTCCACTCACCAGCTCGAAGGGGTCGTGGAACTCCCCCAACAAAGATAGTTTTTCTGGGGTCCAAAGGCTGAGAGCCATCCATTACAAAGTCACTGTCACTTAGGTTCCATGGTCGAATTTGCACCTGAAAAAAAGTCGTTTACTTGGTCCTTACTTCATTTCCATCAACTCCCAAATGAGAATAAGTTAACTAAAGACAAACCCATTGATTTGCGCATTTTACAACATGCCAGACCCAAACAAAATCCAGGTAATTAGTTAAAGTAATCTGCTCTGAGGGAAGCTACTCAACATGTAGACATATACCACGAAGCCTTTGGAAAATACCTGTTATTTGTTTTTTAAAGGCAGTTTTTGAGAAACAGATTCTGGGTTTGGTATCAAACTCCATTTTAAACCACCACAGACTGATTAATACCTGTCACAGTAAACCATTTATTTTTTTAAGAGCCCACTAAAGGAGGAGACCAGGAACATTAGGGGTAGTGTATAAGAATTTTCTGCATGTCCAGTTTTAATTCTTATCACTTCACCAATTTAAAATACCTAATCTTTCAGCAATATGACAAAGAAATTAATGATAATCAAGTTAGTAAAGAGTTACCAGCTATCAAACCCAGATGCACATACAGCATCATCTATAATTTTCCTGAATAAGATCATGAATAAAGTCAAGCCTAGAAACTTCAGTAAAAGTTTAAAGAATAGAAAAAGAAAACATTTATGGCATATATCTTTCTACTTGGTAATTTCTCCTCAAAGAGCTAGAGTTTAACTGGGATTCTGGCTTCCTGTCCACAGTTTGTACTTTTTTAAAATCTGTAAATGCCAGTACTGGGGCTTGACCTCCAGACCTGGATGTTAACCCAGAGCTTTTTCTGCTCAAGGCTAATGCTCTACCACTGGAGCCACACCTCCATTTCCAGATTTCTTGTAGTTAATTAGGGATAATTGTCTCACAGACTTCCTGTCTGGACCAAGATCCTCAGATCTCAGCCTCCTGAGTAGCCAGGATTAAAGATAGAAAGTACTGGTGTCCAGCTTACACTATTTTATCATACATTAAAAATAAGGTATTTCATGGGACTGGGAAGGTGGCTCAGTGGTAGAGCACTTGCCTTGCATGCCAGAGGCCCTGGGTTGGATTCCTCAGTACCACATAAGAAAAAAGCCGGAAGTGGCGCTGTGGCTCAAGTGGTAGAGTGCTAGCCTTGAGCTGAAGAGCTGAGGGACAGCGTCCAGGCCCAGAGTTCAGGCTCCACGACCGGACCCCCCCAAAAAAAATATATATATAAATAAATAAATATTAAAATGTGATCTCTTAAGGGACAAAAATGGCTATTTTGTTCACTACCTTCCATTTAGTACATTGAAACTACATCTTTTTAGACTTTCCAGGAAAAAGAGCATAGCTTCCAAAGTCAAGCTCTAAGAAGCTCTGGGCTGACTTGCAAATTCAAAGCAATAAATATGATTTACTATGAACAGGACATACTTTCTTTCATTTTAGAGGAGCAATTACTTCATTAGAGAAATCACTGTGATAGAAGGTGCCAAAATCATAAATTTAGACTAAGAGTTCAAGGAAAAAATCAATTAATCAAGAAAACCAGAAGACTTCCTACCTGGGATATATATAGCACACACGATGCCATGGCTTCCATGACACACAAAATCAGACTTGACGGGGCTAAAGCAAAATTATAGTTATGTCTTAGGAAGCAGGTGAGAATGAAAATAGTCTTAGTAAACATATCACAATCAAAAAGATTTGGGGTAACACAATCAAGATCCCCTACAACAGCACTTTTCTATTTTTCCTAATTGTTGAGACAGTCTTGCTACTATGTAACCCAGAATAGCCTCAACTTACATTCCCTTCGCTTTGTCCTCTCAATTGCTGAGATTTCAGATTCTCCCACCAAACTTAATTTTTTTCTATTCTAATTCATGCATTTGTGCCCCAACTACCAATATAACGATTCCACCAATGTCACATAAATACACATCTATGTTTACATTGTTGCTTTTCCCAAAAATGTCTGTTGCTCATGCTATACCACTCTAATGGCTAACTTCAAACTGCCTTCATTCTTCATGCCCTAGTTCAAATGACTCAACATTCAGGATGTTTTCTTTTATTACCCTAGGTATATATGGATGCTCTAAGGTCCATAATTAGTATTACATTTTCAAGGTTTTGTCATTTTTCTTAGCTTAACATATATTTGAACATCCTTTATGCACTAGTCTGTGTAGATACTTTGTATATATTTAAATACTTGTTTTGGCTACTTGATTTATATTAGTAACTTTTTGTTACAGATTTTTGTCATTTCAAAGTCCTGATTCACTGTAGCAAGTACTTTGCCTTGACCTCAGTAGTCCCAGGAAGGCATTTAAAACAGATACCTGGGCTGGGAATGTGGCTTAGTGGTAGAGTGCTCACCTAGCACACATGAAGCCCTGAATTCGATTCCTCAGTACCACATATACAGAAAAAGGCAGAAGTGATGCTGTGGCTCAAGTGGTAGAATGTAGCCTTGAGCAAAAAGAAGCTCAGAGACAGTGCCCAGGCCCTGAGTTCAAGCCCCAAAACTGGCAAAAATAAATCAATGAAACAGATATGGGGGCTGGAGATAGAAATGTAACAGGTATGATTTACTACAGATAATAGTGTAATAAAAGAAGGACCCAGGAAAAAGATGGCATTTGAGAGAATCTTTAAGAAAGGGTAGAAATTTAGATTTGAGATAGGAGCAGGAATATTTCCATTTGATTAAAATTTCAGAAGGTAGAAAAACATTAGAAAAAAATTGAAGGTAAACTGAGATGATCTTAAAACTGAGGCAAAAGTATCTATACTGCTTTTATAACTCAGGAGGAGTGATTCAAAGTGCTAGGGGTATACAAGGATATACACAGATATACATATCATGATATATTTGGGAGCTATGAAACTCCTGTGGTCGGAGAAAGAAAAAAATATATCACTGATCTGAAAGTTCTACAGTAGCTCCCTCCTGTAATTGCTAATTTGTCTTCTCATTCTTTGGGAGGGAAAAGTCAAGAATTAATTAGGCCCCAAGTATAGTCCCTTTTGTCACCTTTTAGGGCCAGATCTATACATGCAATGGTCTAAGTAGAGTCCAACTGTCTCCATAATATAACCTCATGTTCATTAATTTGGGATTCATATGTGTTTCAAAAACAAACCATAATCTTGGACATGTTAAGGAGCCTTCACTGTCAGATTCTGCATTAGGAAAATGATCTGATTAACTTGATCACTCAGTGGAAATGAAATTTGATTTTAGGGGAAGGGATATAGGAGAACAAACGGTAGAAAACCTTCAAGATCATTTTGGAACATGGTGTGTTTCTAAGAAGACATCCAAGAAGAGTCAGTAAGAACTCAATAACAATGTTAAGCACTGGTGGCTTATGCCTGTAATCCCAGCAACTCAGGAGGCTGAGATCTGCGGATCATAGTTCAAAGCCAACCCAGGTAGAAAGTCCCTGTGAGATCTTATTTCCAACTAACCACTCAAAAACCAGAAGTGGAGCTGTGGCTGAAAATGGTAGAGTGCTAGCCTTGAGCAAAATGAGCTCAAAGACAGCTCCCAGGCCCTGAATTCAAGCCCCATGACCAACCAAAAAACAAAACAAAACACAAACTTAATAATAAAATGAAGGCACAGGAGACTATGAAAAGTAGAGTGTAAGTTAGCCAAATCAAGACATAGGCGCAAGGAAGAGTAACAACTCAAAAAACCTGCAAATAAGCTCCAAAGGTTGGATATACCTTATTTCCAAGGTCCTCACTTATTCACAGGGAGTTGGAATGTACCAGAATCTGAAGGGAAGTGTGACCAAATGAGGTTTGGTATGGTAGATATAGAGCTAAAGCCAAAAAAGAGGTTTTAAAAATGGAACCCCAAATTGGATCCAGTTCATTAAAAATGACAGGCACCTAGGGACTTTTATGTTTCTTCTCCTAAGTTTTATTCAAACTATTGGTGCTGAAAATTATGCCTGGGTCAAAGAAATGTGTGTCTGGCAGTCACCATCCAGAATTTGCCAAGCCCCAACAAAACTGCTTTGCTTGAGTTCAGAAAATGGAAATTGCAATAAGGCAGAAGCACAAATAATGAAAGTGGCTATCTCTATAAACATTTCCAAAATAGATAATTACACTAATTATTTTCAAAAGTTCTCCAAGCTGGGCATTGGTGGCTCAAGCCTGAAATCCTAGGTACTCAGAAACCTAAGATCTGAGGATCATGGTTCAAAGCCAGTCCAAGCAGGAAACTCTGTGAGATGGTTATCTCCAATTAACCACCAGAAAACCAGAGTGGCATTGTGGCTCAAAATGATAGAATGCTAGTCTTGAGCACAAGAGCTCAGGGACAGTACCAGGCCCTGAGTTCAAACCCCACAACTGACCACCACCACTAACAAAAAGTCCTTCAAGCAAAGAGGAACACACATGTTTAAAGTGAGAACTTTCTATAGCAATGTGCTACCTCTACCCCACCTGTGTCTGCAGGCCCTGCAGTGTTCTCTCCCTAGCCCAAGAGACCTGTCCAGGTGTGGGCCTGTACTGTAGGACATATTATTCTCTATCTCCTGCACAGTCTGTGACATAAGCCCTGCCTGCTCACCTTTAGTCTCCTTACCTCAATTCAACAGCTTCTTTACTATGGATAAAATTACCCCAATGTATACACCTCTACTTCTCTGCCTTCTTATATATAAATATATCCATATTTATATATATACATAACTATATAATGTCCTATAGTGCATGACCAAGCCAACCTCAACCCTTCCTTGATCATCCTACACACACACACACACACAGATGTGCCAGTGCCAAAGGCTCTCCAGAGGTTGACTATTTACCTACACACATCCAAATCTATCAAATTCATTACACATTTTCTAATCTCACACTACTCCAAAGGGACTTAAATCATTTCATATTCATTAGTTATGCAGATGAGCTGCTACACACTTCTAGTCACTCTTCACATCTCGGTATCATACACACTCCCCAAATTTACATAGAGATCAATGTTAACATAGGTTCCTCACTCTTTTCCCTACCTATATGGTGCTGTTGTCCAACATTGTCACTGTTGTTATCAAAATTTGGCAGTGGTTCCAGAATTAGAAAATTACAGCGGCACTTTAACACTAGCTAAAATCCCTATTTCTTTTTCTGCATTAATTATTGCTATGACTTAATAACCTCAAATAATTCCTTTGTCTGCTTTACAATGCCTTCTCTGAATACAAGGCCAAGTCCCCATATCACCCTTTCACAATCAGTTGTATCCTCTTCTCAACAGATGTTACTATGTAGCAAAGTGCTAAGTGTGTCCTGAGTAGGACTGACAACATTATTCAGTTCCATTTGTAAAAGTACATGGCCTCTATCAAATGTTTTCCCCTTCATTTTTCTCTCATCTGAGGCTTCTCAACAACCCACAGAAGAATGAGCATTCTTCCCACTTCCCAGCTGAGGAAACTATAATTCAACAAGGATTATATGATTTATACAGAGCCAAGCAAATAAATGATAGGGCCAAGACTCAGCCGAGAATTTTTATATTTAACCCTCTTTCCCCAGAAACATTTCTGAGAATATACCTAGCTCCAAAGCAAGCCTCATAGCTCTGATGCAAATTTACAGAGGATGCTGAAGGCCCTATGATGTACAGCTTCAGTCTCTCCTACTCTCCACTTCACTATTTTTACTCTATGTCTCACTCCAAGCACCAAACCTTGTCACACACTCACCCCACCTTTACCATTGCTAACTTCCCATGGTCAACCAACTCCATTGCTTTGCTTTGAAATTAGTTTTGCTCTACTTACGCCACCATCATCCAACAATTTATGATTTACTCTTTTTTTTTGCCAGTCTTGGGGCTTGAACTTTGGGCCTAGGCACTGTTCCTGAGCTTCTTTCACTCCAGGTGAGCACTCTAACACTTGAACCACAAGTGGGACACCACCTCTGGCTTTTTTGACTAGTTTATTAGAGGTCTGAGTCTTTCCTGCCCAGGCTGGCTTGGAACCACTATCCTCAAATCTCAGCCTCCTGAGTAGCTATGATTACAGGCATGATCCACTAGTACCGAGCTGATTCACTCATTTCTTAACCACAAACTACGTGCAAATACACCTTTGCTTACATTTTCACATCCATGTTCTCTGTCCTTCCCCCTCTCCCTGTTAAAATGATCCATTTTCGACTGTAAGCTCCTGACCCAGAAAGCTCTATTTGAGTACCTGCACAAAGCCTTACATTCAAAGGCACATAAACATTATAATATTGATTAAAAGCTGGTACACTCCTGTCTTTTGACCTAAACTAATAATAAGAAACCAACTGCCAAAAACAATAAGAGAATATTTTTTAACCTCAATTCAGAGTTTCTTAATAGGAATTAGTTTATCAGGGTTATAAAGTGGAAAAGACAAAAGCACATTGGTTTACCTGTGATCCCCAAATGAACACAAATGACTGGGTGATTTCTTATTAGTTTCCCATCAGCAACAGTTCTACTACACAGCAAGGCCAACCCAGAAAAAAGAATTCTAGTCACCAGCATTCCCATTATAGGAAAAGGAGATACACAGTGTCAAATTGCACTTAGATTTGTGCTCTGGAAAAGTAGCAGCTGGCTGTACATGACTTACCGGTTTATCCTTGATAGTGGGGCTTGACACACACAGGTATAGCTTCCCATCTTCTTCTAGGCAGGCATCTATCAGAGCTTGCACTGAGCTCTCCTCCTGGAACAGTAGAAAGGCATAGCCTTGGGGAGAACAAAAACAAAAGGGTAGGAGAGAAATGAGTAAATTAAAACGATGTGCAAATAAAAAAATCTGTTACTTCATTATGGCAAATTCTTACTAACCTAGGAAGTTCAAGAGGGACAAATGGACTTGCAACCTTGAGTGCCAGGTGCGGTTAAGAGCTCATAGACATTTCCTCAATTAAGGGAACACCAATATAACTTTGTTCAATTCTTTTTTTTGGGGGGGGGGCGTCCGGTCGTGGGGCCTGAACTCTGGGCTTGGGCGCTGTCCCTCAGCTCTTCAGCTCAAGGCTAGTGCTCTACCACTTGAGCCACGGCACCACTTCTGGCTTTTTTTCCTTTTTGCTTATGTGGTGCTGAGGAATCAAACCCAGGGCCTCATGCATGCAAGGCAAGCGCTCTACGACTGAGCCACCTTCCCAGCCCAACTTTGTTCAATTCTTGCAACTACTCAGAGGAGCAATTTCCAAACAAGAGGTATCTTCATGATTAATGACAACAGGTAGATGCAATATGGGCCTAGGCCACAGGTAGCAGCCAGGAAACAAACATCACTTGCCCTCTAAGTTCCACCAGGCAATTTGGTTTCACACATGCTAAGGGGCTGAGTGTTCCAAGTACAGAATGAAAGAAGCCAAACCAAAAATATCATGTCCAGAATAGGCTATGAGAAGCATATCAAGATAAATAATAGTTTAAGGCTGATGGAAACAGACACAGTTTTTTAAAAAAATCATTTTGTTTACAAACAAAATTGTGAGGCCCAGGTTGGCCTCAAACTCATGATCCTCCTGTTTTTAGCCTCTCATATTCTAGAATTATAGGCATGTATCACCATGCCCAGCTGGATAGTGTTTCTTTTTTTTGGGGGGGGTAATAAGATTTTCTAAAATTGACTGTGGTGATGGTTGCACAAGTCTGTGAACAGAAAAATCATTGAATTAAACATACTAAGTTGGTGAACTGAATGATTTGTGAATTATACCTCAACATAGCTTTGCAGGTGTGTTTTTACACATTACTGCAGCTATTATTGTTATTTCTCTAAAGAGATATTCTCTTGATGGAGTACACAATCTAGGATGTAAAGATTGAAGGATTTCCATGGGTTTCCATGGATATATTCAGACTTTATAGATACATATATATGCAAAACTAAAGTTTAAACTCAGGGATGCACTTGCTAGAGCAGGAGCTCTACCATTTAAGTGATGCCTCTTGCTCTTTTGCTTTATTTTCAAATAGGGGCTTGCTTTTATATCTGAGTCAGCCTAGATCTCAATCCTCCTATTTATGCTTACTGTATAGCTGCGATGACAGGTATGTACCACTATGCCAAGTTGTTTTATTGGTTGAGATAAGGTCTCATGAACTTTGTGCCTCGGGCTGGCCTTGAACCATGAACCTCCCAATCTCCAACTCTTGATCAACTAGAACTATAAGTGACGCTACTGCATGGCTGTAATACAATATTTTAAATCAACATGTAATAATTATACATGTTTATGAGTGTGATAATTTGAAATGCATGCAATATATAATGATAAAACCCTGGTACTTAAGCATATACCATTTCCTCTTTTTTTGTGTGTGCTAGTCCTAGGGCTTGAACTCAAGATCTAGGTGCTGTCTCTGAGTTTTTTCCTCAAGGTTAGTGCTGTACCACTTGAGCCACAGCTCCACTTTTGGCTTTTTGGTGGTTAATTGGAGATAAGAGTATGGGGGAGAGGGGTGGAACGTAGTTGTGGAGATGGGAGGGAAGGGATGGTAGAGGAAAAACAAAGGAGGAGGAAACAATGCTTGATAAGAAATGTACTCATTACCTTGCTCATGCGATTGTAAACCCTCTGTACAGTATTTTCACAATAAAAAAACTTATTTTTTTAAAAAAGAGTATCACAGACTTTCCTACCTGGCCTGGCTTTGAATCTCAATCCCAGATCTCAGCCTCCTGAGTAACTAGGATTATAGGCATGAGCCACTGGCATCTGACTCCTCTTTTTCTTTTTGCTCATTCTTTCATTCACAGCTGGTGGTTTACTCGAACCATATCTCCAGTTCCAGCTTTTTGCTGGTTAGTTGGAGATAGGAGCTGGCTTCAAACTGCACAGAGATTCCTAGATCTCAGCCTCCTGAATAGTTACGATTATAGGCATGAGGGCTGGGAAGGTGGCTCAGTGGTAGAGCACATGCCTTGCATGCCAGAGGCCCTGGGTTCAATTCCTCAGCACCACATAAGCAAAAAGAAAAAAGCTGGAAGTGGCACTGTGGCTCAAGTGGTAGAGCACTAGCCTTGAGCTGAAGAGCTAAGGGACAGCGCCCAGGCCCAGAATTCAGGCCCCATGACCGGACCCCCCCCCAAAAAAAAAATGATTATAGGCATGAGCCACCAGCATCTATCAGTGCTCTATGCTGGAAAGCTTCAAACTCTTTTCTTTTAGTTCTTTATCATAGACAGAGCACAAGTCTAGCATAAAAGAGGTCTTAGATTCAATCCTCAGCAAAAATAAAATAAAATATGTAAGTAATTACTGTGAACTATAGTCACCCTACTAGAACAGCCAATTTTGTTCAGTTCAATTTAATAAAATGTATTAAGTAATAGTTACAAGTGGGACACAATCTATGAATTATGGGAACATTGACATGAATCAGACCAAGTTCCTGCTGTCAAGAATTAATGTAGCATAATAAACAAATATTTAGACAATCACAAAACAGGGCAAGAAATGGGGACAAGAAGTATCACAGGGGGGCTGTGAAGATGGCTCAGTGGTAGATCGCTTGCCTTGCATGCCTGAGGCCCTGGGTTTGATTCCTTAGCACCACATAAGCAAAAAGAAAAAAGTCAGAAGTGGTGCTGTGGCTCAAATGGTAGAGCGCTATCCTTGAGCTGAAGAGCTGAGGGACAGCGCCCAGGCCCAGAGTTCAGGCCCCACGACCGGACCCAAAAAAAAAAAAAGAAGTATCACAGGAACCCAAAAGAGCAAGGGCTCTGAGTTGGGAGAAGCAGCAAAGACTTCAGAGAGAGTAACAGATGTTCATGAGGCCAACACTGGCATTCTTGAATGACAGCTGAGCAAAGACCCATCATGAGCTAGTCTAAACCTGAGCACATAATATTCAATCTCTTTACAATACTGATAGCTTGGCTAAATATCTCATCTGTCATCTCAATTTCAAGTCCTGCTACTGACCTCAAAAGAAATCATTACGAATACTGTTCTTCTCTGGTGCACTTTAAATGTAGAGAAGAATAAGAAGCCATGAATAAAGAAGATTCTCACACATCAAATCAAGGTGCTTAACAGATAATCAAATAGCTAAGACACAAAGTTCTCTGGAGTTCTGGCCATATAATATCCTGTCATATAACAATAACAATTCTTTTGTAGCCATCTTAAGAATGGCTATTCCTTTTAGCCTTTTCTCCAACTCTCTTCATCCATTATATAGAGCGTACAACCGAGCACAGCAGGAAAGACTAGCTACTGCCCAACACACCACACCAGAGCAGCCACTACAACCAGTAGAAGCCACTGAGCTGAATGGGTGGCTTGGGAGATTCAAGAAAGAGAATGTCACTGGGCATCAGTGGCTCATGCCTGTAATCCTAGCTATTCAGGAGGCTGAGGCCTGAGGATTGCAGTTTGAAGCCATCCCGGCAGAAAAGTGAGACTCTGGAGACTCTGGAGGTGGCACTGTGGCTCATATGGTAGAGTGCTAGCTTTGAGCATAAAGATGCTCAGGGTCAATGCCCAGGCCCTGAGTTCAAGCCCTACAACCAAAAGCAATAGATGAGCGCCGGTGGCTCACACCTTTAATCCTAGCTACTCAGGAGGCTGAGATCTGAGAATTGTAGTTCAAAGTCACCCCGGACAGGAAATTCCATGATATTCTCATCTCTAATAAACCACTCAGAAAACCGGAAGTGGTACTGTGGCTTAAGTGGTAGAGCACTGGCCTTGAGCTGAAGAGCTGAGGGATAGCATCCTGGCCTATGACCGACCAAAAAAGAGAAAAAGAGAGAGAGAGAGAGAGAGACAGACAGACAGACAGACAGACAGACAGACAGACAGAATGTCTAATTGTCAGGACTGAGAGCTATTTTCATGCTGTGTTTCCAGAACAGATCAAAGGAGTTATCAGGTGTTTACGTAGAAAAAAGAAAACCTTAACTGAAAACATAAAAAAGGTAATATACTATTGCTTCATACCCCTTCTCCTTTGAAAACAGTATCAAACAAACTATCACTACGTCATAGAAAATCTATTAGAAATGTAGGGTTTTCATTTAATATGAGAACATTGATCCTACTTGCCAAACAGAATATGGGAGAACAGTTACAAATGTAAATATCACAAAAGGAAGGTTTCAGAAGGTCCCCGTAAGCCGCCTGCCTGAGCAGGTTAAATTCTGACACGGGTCTTTCATGAAGGTGCTATGAATCATACTGGATATCTTGACCTTAGCGAGGAGCCTGTCTACTTATACATTGTACACAAGCACATTGTAAAGGCCTAGAATTAAAGTGCTAGGGTATACTCAAGTAAGCTAGGCTTTCTCTAGCCCCTTGTTTCTGGAAGACCTACAAGCTGACAGTATGCTTCTTCTACATTACTGCCTACCCTCTGTCATCTTCCACATCAAATCCAATTTTGAGCTGAGCTTGATCAGCAGAAGGGAGAAAGGTTGGCTCTCCATAGCAACTGAATAGTTACCAAAAAAGTGTGAATACTTTCACTTAGCCCTGCATGTCTACATTAGCAGCAGATGGATTAAAAACAACTGGGAGTTATAAATAGAAGTCTCACAAACAGGTTCCTGGGTTCAAATCCCAGCCCTGGTTAATATGAGGTAGAACTTAAATAAATGATTTACTAAGTGGTCCATTCCACATGGTAGGATGAAAAGCATTCTCTGGATGAGAAGTGAGGAGGTTTGGATTTGGATACTAGTCCTAACATTCAGTAGCTGTCTGGTTATGATACCTAAT